ATGGGGTGGTGTGTGGGGGGGGGGGGGGGGGGGGGCGGGATAAGGGGGTGTCCAATAGCTTGGAAGGTCATCACAGTGGCTGCCAGCCTTCAAGGCTGGAGGGAGGGGGTGTCCTAAATAATTATTGGTACAAGGGACTTTATTGGCATTTTATAGGTGTTTTTGCTGTCCCTACAATCTTTGGACGTCTTGGCTGTTGGGGTATACAATCAGATTCTGTGGGACAAAGCCAAAGTGTTGGCTAACATCAACCACAAAGGGGAAAGGGTGAACATTGTTGCGCAGCTCAAAGAAAACCAGAACCTCATTTTAGCTTGGGCAGACCTCTCCCTTTTGCAGCGCAGAATCAAGTTGCAAAGCATCCAAGTAAATGTAATGACTGGGTAGTACTTATGCATTCTCGGCCTCCTGGTAGTCTCTAAATGGGCCCTGCTAGATCATCCAGGTCTTCTATCCCAAGGACCAGTCCTCCAGCATACTTTCAGGTAACTGGCGTTGAAAGCCTGGCTGTTAAAGCCCAGGTCTTGAGAAACTGAGGCCTCTCTGCTTCAGTTATCCCTACTATCTTGAAAGCTAGGAAGTAGATCTCTTGCAGAAGTCTACCACTGATGAGTCCTCTTCCTTTTGTCTGGTCTGGATTAGCGCCCGGCCTTGAATACGATCAGGGCAGATCTCGGCCTTGCCTAGTCTGTTCTAAGGACCTCCTAGCCACTCATTCCTCTGAATGTGTTTGTGCAAGGTCTTGGGCACATTGCTCCACCTGTATGCTTCCCTGATGACTTTGTAGAATCTCAACTTGGTTCCATCAGCCCTTTTGAACAGATTAGGGCTATTACCTTGTCTGACCTCTCGCAAGGTGGCCTTTTCTCATTGCAATTACGTCTCTGAGGTAATGGTTTTATCCCGTAAGAAGCCTTTTCTAGTGTTGGACAAGGCTGTCCTGAGGCCTTTGCTTTTTAAGGTGGTTATCGATTTCCACCTTTTTAATGAGGACCTTATGACACCTTCCTGGTGTCCAAAACATCCAAAGGAAATTTCTCTCTACTTTCTAGATGTGGTGTGCTATTCAATCTCCCCTTTCCACTACTGCTTCCTTTCCTTTTGGCAGTTAGGCTCCCAATGTGTCTTTCCTGAGGGATCATGCATGGGGCTCCCTGCTTCTCGTTCTATTACTGGTAGGTGGATTATACAGGTCATTCAGGCCTATAGTTAAGGATAAGGTTTCTCACTTGTATTTTTCCTGTTTTAAAACTTAATTCTAGTAGATTTGTTAGTGCTTTTGTGGGCTTTTAGGTATCTGTATCTAATTTGCAAGGCTGCCATGTGGTCTTCTGTTCAAACATTTAAAACCCATTTCCACCTTTTGCAGAAGTATTTAAAAAAACATTGCTAGAAATGTGTTCAGGAAGCAGGCATATGCAGTTGCTGTACATGAACACCAACTTATATTTGTTAGCATTCCTCTTCATATCAGCTGTGCAAATAATGTGTACATATTACACATGGGCTGAGAGAGATGTATAGTGAATGTGTTCCATGGGATCAGAGGGAGGGGGATAGCGGTTTACAGCCTGCTTTATAATCCAACCCCAATGTCAGAATGAATTTCTAGGATTCAGGCTTAATAAAAAGAAAAATGAACGCCTGCAATGCGAGTCATGAAAATGTGCACACATATACATGATCTGCACTTCTACATTACCACAATAAATACTAATCATGAACAATGGTGGAAATGGACTTGAAGCTTTACCGGGTGTGTAGTCAGGCCTCTGATGCCAGCTTTTGGTGTAAGGTGTTCCAAACTGCACTCTAAACTGTGTTACGTTCTTGTCCATATGTGTGGGCCTGTTGGCATTGTTTGCTATGTTGCCCGCCCTCAATTGGCCTGCTTGGGGATGTCTTAGGGTCTAAAACTTAGAGCCTGTACAGTCGTGGCCAAAAGTTTTGAGAATGGCAAATATTATTTTCAGTCTGCTGTTTCAGTGTTTATGATGGCAATTTGCATATACTCCAGAATGTTATGAAGAGTGATCAGACAAATTGCAATGTCCCTCTTTTGAATGAAAATGAACTTAATCCCCCAACAAACACTTCAGCCCTGCCACAAAAGGACCAGCTGACATGTCAGTGATTCTCTTGTAACCCAGGTGTCAGTGTTGATGAGGACAAGGCTAGGACTGTCTTCTAAAGTTGATTCAGCTGCGGGATCGGGGCACCACCAGTGCAGAGCTTGCTCAGGAATGGCAGCAGGCACGTGTGAGTGTATCTGCACGAATAGTGAGGCGAGGACTTTTGGCGGATGGTGTCATGAAAGGCAGAAAATAAGCCACTTCTCTCCAAGAAAAACATCAGGGACAGTCTGATATTCTGCAAAAGGTACAGGGATTGGACTGCTGAGGACTGAGGTAAAGTAATTTTCTCTGATGAATAACCTTTTTTCAGCATGATGGTGCACCTTGCCATAAGTCAAAAGTGATAACTAAGTGGCATGGGGGACAAAACCAACATTTTGGGTCGATGGCCAGGAAAATCCCCAGACCTTAATCCCATTGAGAACTTGTGGTCAAAACCCCCCCACAAATTCTGACAAACTCCAAGCATTGATAATGCAAGAATTGGCTGCCATCAGTCAGGATGTGGCCCAGAAGTTGACTGCCAGGGCAAATTTCAGAGGTCTTAAATATGAAGGGTCAACACTGCAAATATTGACACTGCATAAAGAGTGCAATCTCACATTCCACCCCACTCACATAGTTGGATAGAAGTGACATTTCAGGACCGATCAGCTGTTCCGGGGCAGATCGCTTCTCCTGCACATACGATTTGTGATGCCGATCTGCCCTG